ATCATACACTTTGGCCTCAAATCTGACACAAGCAATTTTTAAACTGTGTCGTTCTGATGTACAAATGGTTAGGAATTCATTAACGTAGTCCTCAAGTGGCTGAATGTGTCAGTGAATTTTGTTTTCTGCACCTGTAGCAGTACTTCATTCGTGTTCAAGGAATGTTGTAACATTTCAGAGAACAGCTTCTCTTAGGTATATGCAGGAGCTTGTCAGCTTAGCTTAGTTTAAAGTTAAGAAACTAAGAGAAATAGCACGCCTGCTCTGCCAAGAGGCAACCAATCCATCCTGTAGGCGTTTCTAAGGGTGCAGACCCACTGCATGCAAACTGATTGATAAGAAAACATAGACTTATTCATTTTCTATTGCAAATTGCTGATCTAAAAGATAGAGCATCCTGGGAATGGGATACTTGCCGAGGCAGACAAAACTTTGGTGCAACGGTAGAAGCAGAAACATTAGGATATTCAGTATTTGCTTACATTAAGACAGTCCAATCCCACTGCAGCACTGTATTCTTTCTGAAAGTCGGCGTGTGCAGCCAGGAATTATCCAATGAGGAATGAAAATTGTACTGAAGTTGATGTAGTAGACCTTAAAACATATTTTTTTAGCAAATGTCTTTGTTACAATAACATTGTAATGTTTAATCGAAAAAGTATGAAGCGCCTGGTTGTACAGCTATGGTTAGAAAATAGCTCAGAAAGAGGTAACTATACTTCTCATCCAGAATCCAGTCTTGAACGTGTTCTGTTTAAACAGCTTTTTACCCTTTTATTAATGTCATAACAATCCATCTTACAGTATTCAGCTCTATGCTGTTGATTTTGTATCAATAACACTATTATAGGGAGAAAGTAAGATTGATGTGACGACTCCATTCAGCCCTGAAAGCAATCATCTGGAAAGGACAACAGTTTAAACCAATTGATAGACTGTGTGCAGTAAAGCTCAATGATTCCACATCTTTTGTCTGTTTTTTTATTCCAGAGATAATAGGACAGTAATAGAGAATATTTGTCAAGGGCATTGGCTCACTCCTGACTCAACTTTAATACTTGTGAATGGTCAATAATGAGAAGTCTGTAGCTGATGTTTGATATTTTCAGACCAAAGAATTTGCCAAAGTTGTCAAAGATGCCATCTGGAACAGGACTCCAGATCTTCAATAAACATGAGGGGAAAGAGAACACAACCTCTTGTTTTCACATAATAACAAGTTGATTATTACTTTATCTGATAAAGTTTATTTTTTTCTGCTTTCTTCCTTTCTTTTCTTTAAAGATTTTTTGTGGCTTTTATCTAGAGATAGGACAGTGGATAGAGTCTGAAATCAGGGAGAGAGAGAGGTGGGAATGACATGCGGGCAAGGAGCCACAGGTCTTCGAAGATAACAGCCTCTGCACATGTGGCGCTCAAACTAACCAATCAGCCACCTGCGCCCCGCAAAGCTTTCTTTAATCACATTTTTTATCTCAAGCACGAATGTTAGTCAGTATGTATAGTTTTATTTTATATAAGAGGATGACATACAACTGAGATCCTTGAATTAAAAACAAGCACGTGTAATATGTAGAGCCAGTACCAGATGACTTACTGATTGAAATCGTTTTACTTTGGACCCTTTGCAGCCAGGTCTCTCAGAAGTGTGTTGTTTGCACAGAACAAAAAGGTTCTAGATGTCTGCGACTGATAGGAATTGGAAAATTAATGGATAACAATGAACTCCTGAACTCCTGAAATGATTTGATCTAATGCGGGTTAAGAAACAGATGACTGTAAGGGTTCACAAATGATCCAGTTCCTATTTTACAAATGACTCAAACAGACCTGCACATCTGACACATTTTTTCCCAAATTACACCTCCTGCCCTTCATTCTCTAACTTTCCTGTTGGTGGCAGTAATACAGTTCAAAGCTAGTTTTCCAAGTGCCAGTAAACAAAGAATAAATCCAGTCTCCTAATTTACATGTCAGCTGAATCTCATTCCGGGAGTAGGATCCTTCGAAGGACACAGCCTTCATAGCTTGTGTAGACCACAAAGTGAGAACCAGCCTGTTGTCTCGTGGAGCAATGATGGGGACAGATTTGTCTCATTGTCTGACGGGTCATCTCATGTGGGGAAGTTTTTCCTAGTTGCACGGGTATTATATAACAGCGGACATCAAAGTTAACAATTAGCAGCTGATTTCATGGGAACTTGCTCGTGTACATATTTCTGCTTCAAAATGACACTTTGAGATAAATGACTCTGCATTCTGTATATTTGTGTGGGACTTAACAGAGTCAGGAAGGGGACTAAACACCCCGGCCTTGAGCTGTTCACATTGTGGCCCTGTTTACCACGCTGACCACATGGTCAAGCCGCAAAGAGCAGGATTGCAACAAGTAAAACGTAAAAGATCCAAGCGGATTAGCAGGTATGTGCAATAACAAAAGCCATATTTTACAAATAAATATACATGCTGTTTGAATGCTGTTTATCTGTTTCACTGATTTGTATTTAGTTGCTGCTATCTGCTAGTTTTCCCTTGTGGATGCCCATTTCAAACATGCAACAAAACTCCTGAAAATGTCCTGAAACTTTTTGGGTGAGCTACCAAGTGAACACAAACAGTTGTATTTCTTTTCAATTATGAGAGACTTAATTGAGATTGAATTATTGTGTATCTAACAGCTTAGGAAAAGATAAATATGCAATGTCTTTGGCGATAAGACTGTCATGATGTCTTCATTGTCAGAGGGGCAGTGAGGCCGACAGCAGGATAGAATGGAGTGTTGACACTGGTGCCACTGATGATATAAATATGCTGGATGTAATGAGGAGAGGGTTTCTGAGGCTGTATGTGAACTCTGCTGAATGGAGGTGACTTGGGCGGAGGAAGGTTGCAGTGATCGCACTGAAAGGACTGACTGCGTAAGAGAGAGAGACGATCAAAACATTAACAGCAACAGGGTGATTGGTTGAGAGAGGTTGTGGTAGAATCTGGTTGGTTTATTACTTAAAGAGTAAACGCCCATAATCAGCTGATCTGCAAAGCAGGGATATGGAGGACGTGGTAGACAGGGGTCGGCTAAGTTGACTAAAGAAAAATTAATGAATGTGTCAAAGAATATAAACAGTCTTCCTGCTTGAACCTTGAACTTACGTCATTTGGACATTTTTCCGCCAGCCCCTAAGTGAAATCTGCAAGAAGTCAGGTGAGCGATGTGTGAGTGCAGCAGGTAAAATTCAGGAAAAATTGCAATCTTCATGTTTTGCTCACAGCATGTTCTTTTCCACTTGTCTTTTGAAACTGTGAATGTTACCCATTACACAAAGCATTGACATAAAGGCAAAAACTTTCCACGTAACTAACATATCGCACATCATGGATATGTTATAAAGATTACTCCGACTTCCTCCGCTTCCTTTTTACATCATATCCCCAAACCTACCCCCAAAATCTGCTGATGTGAAGGACATGTGAGAACGAGAAATTCTCAGGAGTGCTTGTGTGACTCTTATTGCTTGAAAAATCATGACTCAAAATAAAGAAGAAAAGAACAAATTATTTTTTCCGAAAAGTTCAAATAAAAAACAAACTAGTAGATCGTACATGGAAACAGCGAGGGCACAGTCCTCGTGGTTTGATCATTTTGGTTTGATCTTTCTTGGATGAGATATCTAGACTGAAATTTCTGCCATAATCTTTAGTATTTTAGTTTTTAAGAACCGATCTACATGTATCAAACTGGAGAAAATTTTCCATTTAATGTCTATGAAAGGAATATTTGTCTGGGTATAAACATTAAATAAATTGACAGCAATCTTTCATGAACAGTATCTCTGTTCCTTTTTTTCTTTGTTACATCTCAAATTCTAAGATTAATCATTTCTTTAATGGGACAATGTGTAAACTACGTGCCAAAATAGAACACAAGCACTACGATGGTATTGCTTCGCAGACAAGGGACGATACTTGCACCAACCTGAGAGGATACTCCAAACAGACTGTGAATAATCCTGTTGTCTCCCTCTGAATTACATTTCAGCCTTATTTTTCATGCATCACTGGAGGGAAGCAGCACAGGTTCTCAAACATTTATCAGCCCCGGCATCAGTTCTGCTTTTGCTCTTACATCCTCTCCAGACTGGGATGGTTCAGTGTTTTCTTTAAACTGAGTGTGACAGCAAACATGAAGAAGAGCAGGTGTTTTTCTGCTGTTTATCAATGAGTACAGAAGGGACGGCGTCACCCTGCTGATGTAAAACAGCGTCACATGTTTCCTCCACTTTCATGTTGGGTTGTTCATGACTGAGGATCCTCTTACACCTTAACTCCTCTAACCTTTTAAATATCCAACAAAGGATACCATCATTTACTGCTGATTGTAAACATGTAAAAGGTCAGTGAGATTGATCTGATAGATCCTAACTGGATGTGAATGCACACCTGTTAACTCACATTACTGTTTGTCTGTTTATACATTTAATTAGGGTTTTTAGAGTGTTGAGAGCAGAGAGGATCAATATTCTGAGAACTGGAGTCATTTTTCCATTCATCCCATTTCTCACATTTTTCTATTAATGTGTGTTTTTCCCAGAGTCCGGAGGATACTCTGACACTCAGGCGGCTCTGCAGCGTGTTTGTTTAAGCCACTGCATTGCTTGTTTAAGCTTAATTGCAATGAATTGGAGCCTTAGATTGTGTTTATTGTTTCTGAAGGAAAGCGCTCTCGGCCAGGTCTACTTCCTGAGACCCCGATTTTTTTTCCATTGACTAATACTACCTCCCTTTTTTTTCTCTGTTTGTGTGTGTCTGATACGTTAGTTTTTTGACATATTACTAATATCCAAAAGGCTTTTAAAATCCTTTCGCTTAACCTTAACCCAAAGTGTCAGCCTTCTCGCCTTGTTAGTGCTAATGGGGGTCATGAGATGATGTCACGGAGCTTTTAAACCTTAATATGAAAAAAAAGAGTGTGAAAAACTTTATGCTTTTATCATGAACTTCCGCTTTATGATGACAACATATGATGACCTTTCAAAGGCCTTGCTTGTTCTGAAATAATAGTGGGAGCATTAAATTACAGCTGCATTATAAACTGAACACTTTTACACACGCGTGTCTCAGTTATTATTTTTCTACACACACACACACACACACACACACACACACACTGTGTTTACATGTGACTTAACAACAACAACAAAACTGTTCAAATAAAATCCCCAGATTTAACTCTACATTACAGTATGAACAAAATGAAAAACAAAGTGCATTATGATTGAAAGATAAATTATAAGACCTCGTTGAAGTGGCCTCTTTTTTTGGGTGGGGGGGGGCAAAGTGTACCTTCAAGCAAATTTCATTACACTGAGTACTAATGAGGTGCGTTATTCTCAGCAAGTATGCACACAAAAAAGCGTTTCTAAAAATGAACAGCGACAAGAAAAACAAGAAAAGGCAAGTATGTAAAAGCATTAAGCAACAATCTGGAGTTGATGTAATAAAAGGGAGAGGGAGGTAGACGGTGCTTCAAAATAGCTGCTGGAATGAAGAAATAATTTGTGTTTAAGTGGAAAGTCAGAGGGGAAAAAAAACACTAGTTCAAAAGTTCAGTTTGAAGTCAAGATTGCAATTGACAGATGCTGAAAAGGAGAATTGTGAAAATAGAAAACTGCAGCACAGAAAAGGAAAGCATTAACTGATCTCAGTGAGGATAACATGAACAATCAGGACATGTTTGACAAAATAACAGCATTTGAACAAACATTCATCTTTAGCAAAAAGGCTGAACTAGCTGATACCAACTTTGACTTATTTGTAATTATATGTGTTTCAATGCATCAGTTTACCTTTTTTTAATTACAATTTGAATTATCAGCAAGTGGATGAGGTGAGAATTATGGTCAGAATACCTACTAGTAAAATAATGATTTAGGATTGCAGCCCTGAATAAAAAAATATGTGCCACACTGATTTGAGTCCAGATCTTCAGGATGTAAGTACTGGAAGATTGACGAGCTTCATAAAACTCCTATAATGAAAAAAGTGCAGAAATACTGAGTGAGGATGGACAATCCTTAAAGTTGTGATTTTTATATCTAGAATCTTCTCTTAGAGAAGACTTACGTATTGCAAATAATAATTTATAAAACATTTATCATTTACAATATAATTTTTTCTGAAGCCTACAAGTGTGTTGAAATAACTTATTATCCATTATCAGAACATTTAGCGACATGTGTCTACTGCTTTACAACATATTTTCTGCAGCTACAGAAAGCAGCCCCAGTCAGATTGAAACAGTTTTCACTGAATGACTGTGGCGCAGGAGTATTTGCACGCTTCTTATAAAAAGGAAAACTTTTCTGAGATGACAAATTTGCGTGTAATCCAAAGAGGGAAACAACAACTAAGTGTTCACCACACGATTATACTGCACTATGCATTAGTCATGGACCTAGCTCATAAGGAGTTTATAAGTGATTCAGTTCTTACAATGAGAGTTACAAATTCCAGGGATTACTCATGGATCACTTTCACCACTGTATTCATTTACCATATTGCCCATACCCTTGTGAATCAAATTTCACACTATTTCCACAATGACTGAACAAAGTGGCCGAACTATGGAAGGATAGCTTTTCTGTCTGCAACGCTTGAATCACAAAGAATGGGAGTGAGACAAAATGCTTAAATGTGCCCACATAGTTAGATTTAGTCATCAGTTGAGGTAGCTGGGTGCTGAAACAGAACACAGGACGGTGAAGCTTCAAGTTCAGACTTCATTATTTTAATGCGCCTCCCTCTATTTTTCTGAGGTTTAAAATGTTCACTTTTAAAGAAGTCAGTCAGTAGATGATCAAGCTCAGACTGAACTGAGAACTTTCTCTCAATCAGAGTTCAGTTAGATGCATTTCTCCTCCTCTGTGTCATTGGTCAATGACACCTGAAGGGCTGGATCTTTTGGGCATTGCAGGGCTGAAAGGTCCCTGATTACATTAGTTTTTTCTCTATTGTCAGTCTCAACACTCCCATGCTCAGATGAATAAGAAGTATGAGAGTTTCTTACTGATGAAGGTCTTGACCCAGACAATCTGTTTGCTTCTTGACAGCTTCCAGCGTATACCTCACTTCCCTCTGGCAGGTAGAGGAAGGTCTGGGAGGTGCTGGATGCGTCTCGCAGATCGTGGGAAACAAGAGAGTGTGAGTCCCGGTTTGAGATGACCGAGGGAAGTTGCTGAGCGTCTATACAGGGGAAGTTTCTCTGTCCCTGTTGTCCTCGTGCTCCCATCTTGCAAAATAAGCACTTGATTTTCTCGATGAGCTTGAGCAGAACAGCCTTGCGGAGGAGGATGTAGATCCAGGGGTCAAGGATTGGGTTGAAGGAGGCGAAGCGTATCGCTCGTAGATCGGGGTTTTTTTCCAACCGCAGCTCCACTGGAGTCTTATACAGCTGGTTCAAAAACACCTGAGCCTGCATAAGAGAGGATGATACAGGCTGAGTGGAAATATCTTTGTTCCATATTCTGGTTTCATTTAAGTTTTGTTTTTTGAGCGAAAGACTATAGTCACCAAAAAACATATTTTTTTAAAAAGCAGCAAAAGAGAAAATTAATCTCAATTAACTTAATCAAAGTCTTAGAGTTTGATTAATTTGCATGAGTACATGTCTACAACTAAATGTATTTATGTGTAAAATAGAAAAACGTTAATAATGGATTGAAAATGGAAAGGCAAAATTATCAGAAGAATAGTGGTAAATAAATAATTGGAAACTTCTTAAGTAAAACAAATGCTTGTTTACTTCCTTATCATACACACGATAATACTTTATGTGGTCAAATAACGCAATTGGCAGGTAAAAAAAAAAAAGCGTGCGTAAAACGTGCGTAATATAGAAACTGCCAAAACAGAGCAAAGAAAACCCCAAACTTACAACAAGTGGGATGGAGCAGATAAGCACAACTGCTGACGTGCCTATAAGCAAAATGACCATCTGAATCTCTGCACCGGCCAGGCGTCCGAAGCTGCGTCCTCTCCTCCGCGGGTCCTCGTTGCGCCCCAGGTCGGTTCCCAGCGATGTTCTGCGCACGTAACGCCGGTGCATCCGGATCAAAGCCCCACACACCAGAACGTTACAGATGACAGTGATGAGAGTAAGGAGAGAGCTGAAACCTGCATACATGTAGGAGTATGCTGCGTCGCTGGTCTTGTTGCTCCTCCATTCTAAGAAGCACCACGTTTGCGGGTATTGTTTCTTCACCTGTCCGAAGCCGACGATGGGCAGGGCGCAGAAGAGCGCGTTGGAGACGTAGATCGCCAGTAGAGTCAAACCCGCTAGTTTCTGGTCCACATAGTCATTGTAGAAGTAAGCATGGTTTATGGCGATGTACCTCTCCACTGACATGGCACAGATGATACTGAGCCCCGCCAGAGAGAAGAAAAGCATGGTGAATCCAAAGTACTGGCACAGCGGGTCCTCTCCGGGCCATGATCCTTTCACATAAATGGCAATGGTGACCGGACTGGCCAGCAGTGTGCCCAGCAGGTCCGTGACAGCCAGACCACACACCAGCGTGTAAAACGTGGTTTCTTTCTGTTCTTTGCGAGATTTACAAAGAACCACTATGGCAATGACGTTCCCAACCACACCGAAAATGAACATAATAGACGGGATGGTGGGGACCATGGTCCTCCCTGTCACCGTATGATTATTCATCATGTCCTAAGTGACTTCAAGAGGTGTGAAAAAAAACTTGTTTTATCGCCAGTATTTCCAGCCCAGAGAGGGAAACTTATTTACACTTGCAAAGAGCCTGGACAACATTGTCAAAATCAGAATAAAAGGTCTGCACTTTATCCTTAAACGAACGCCTATTTAAAAAAAAAACAAAAAAAAAAAAAAACGACCAACCCTGCTCAGAGGATCATGTTGTCTGCTGCTGTGGTCACCACCGGTTCAGAGACGTGCCAGTAATAAATCCTAGCTAGTTTTTCAAGACAGTAGCATGCTTCTCTCACCAGGACAGCAAGGTAAAATCAGGCAACAGACAGCAGTGACTTCATTGAAATAAAGCTCTGCCTTCAAGCTCCCTGCAGGATTCAGTCCCTCCCCCAAGTCTGCAGACCACAGCACTCATCAGCTGTTCAGTCTGATGAAGGAAAGGTCTGGGACGAAATACACTCACAGGAAATTTTGGACAACGTAGTTTAACATTATATAAAAAAACAACAACATCAACAAAGACCCTCAAAAATCTTGATGTTAACTTCTGCTTTATTTGATACCACAGCATGCAGCAAGAAGAAGAATAAAACAAGAGACACTTCAAATAATATTCACAATAATCTAAGCACACATTGTGATAACCATCACAAGATTTAAAAAAGTCATAATAAAATATTTTTAAAAAGATTATTTGGCATGATCATACGGAACACATGCTAGATTTAAATTTGATCTGTATGAAAATAAACGCTCCTGTGTAATACCACAACATGCTCTAACGTGATAAGAAATATTCATTCAGCTAAAGGTTACACTGAATTGATCTTCTGACAGACATCCCCTTAGGTTTGGTTTGGGATTAAGACCTTATTTTTGACGTCAAAATCATTGACACAAAATCCTCAAAATGTTGAACGGCTCAGCAAAATCTAATCAATTGTTTCTCAGTCTACTGATGATCAGCTCACCAAGTGTCATGTAGGTTTATCCAAAAACCTGTCAGGTATCCTGTGGAAGAAGTCTCTGGTAATCACGACAAGCATTACTTATAAATAAAGTACTTATAAATGAAATACAGTGTGAAAATCAAATTGAGACCCAAGAAACTGTTTCTATGGTCCTGTTATCAGAGCACTTTATCAGAACATTGTAATTCAGTCCACATTTTGTTTTGATAGATGGCCACAGTACAATTTGTTTTGTGTCTGTTATTTATCTCAGAGCAAACAAACAGAGCGTCCTGCTGATAGACGCTGGTGACACAAGTGTCCCTGACTTGATAGCAGGTCTTGTGACTTATTTATTTACTTACTGTGTGATACTCAAAAGAGAGTAAAAAAAAAACACTTGTTCTGTATCATACAAAGAGCAGGAGATATCACAAATTAGTTTTTTGTTTCTCCTGCTGAGCTGTGTTACTGTTATCAAACAGACAATGTCCAACATAAGTACTGTTGCCATGAAGCTTTAAACTGCAGGATAAGGATAGTGTGCATGATCTCAGAAAGCAGAAGACATTCGGCACCGTCTTTGACTTAGCAACGATGAATTACTCATGAAAAGGATCAGATAGGGTACGATGTGATACTTATGTTCCCTTCTTTTACTGCTGTCCAACATTATCCCACTGTCTTCTTCATTCTTGTATCCCTCTGTCAACTTGTACTTTTCGTTTCACATTACTCTCATTCATGTCATAGGCAACACCATAATGAGTCATGACGTGAGGACAACCGTAGATCAACTCTGTTTAGAATAAAGAATGTTTTAAGTCAGAAATCGGCAAGAGAGAGAGGGGTAATGACGTGTGGGAAAGGAGCCACAGGTCAGATTTGAACCCAGGCTGCCCACTTGGACGACAAAAGCCTCTGTACTGGTGCCCCTTAGAATCACTTTTTAAATTAAAATATGAAATTTGGGGGTCGCTGATGGCCTAGCAATTAGATTGTTCTTGTCCGACCTGCGGCTTCCGTCCTGCATGCCATTCCCCACTCTGTCTTCTGGATTTTCCTACACTATTCACTGTCCTTTCCATTATGGCCCCCAACAATATCGACATTTGGCACCTGTGTTTCAGTAATTTTATCAGGATGACAAAAAATTGCTGATATTTTGTAACGCCTCTGCGCCAAATGACAAAAGATGACAGCAAAGAAGTACAGACCACAACATGGAAAATGTTCTATTCAGATAGGGGATAAAATAACACCTCTGTTAATGAGCCAACACACAACAAAAATGTCCTCTATTGGGTTTTATTAACCTAAAACCTGAGTGACTTTAATTTTCATGTTCTGTATGGTTTTGAGATTGTTTTTGTTAGTACAATGATGGTTTTATAATCAGGACTAATGGTTCTAGCAAGGACAGAGGACTGTGGCTGGAGCGTGTCAGTTTGGGATGTAATTAACTGTAAAGTAACTTGGATAGGTCCACAGAATATAGAGAGGACAGAGAGTATAAAAGGTTATATAACTATATATAACTAGTAAGCTCAAGAACACATTAAGACATATTCAAGCAACTGAAATGGTTGAGAAATATCATAATCTCCAGACTGTTTTGCCTGGAAGTTTTAGTTGTCAGTGAACCTAACATCAATACAAGTAGACTGTGGGAAAGATTATTCAAAATAAAACATTGCTGAGAACATACAAACTTTTGAAAGGTCTCATTAAAGTGTCATTTTAAGATGATTTGGCTGGGAACATAAATACTCACCCGTACAGATCTGAATGAGTTAAAAAAACTTGCAGACACTCAGTACTTTACTTCAGTCTGTTTTCTCCCCTGCTTTAGACTTTGACTGATCTCACAGAACAAGTTGAACTCTGACGAACTGAGACCCTGAGCCCCACCGCCTGACGTCATCCTTCCACACTGACCCTGTGCTCTCGGAAAACACACTTGCTGTTGTCATTGTTGCCAGTTATCCATTCATTGAAACATAGCGAAGGGGGAAAACCCAGTGTGATAAAGGTCTTGGCATAGCCTTGTAACATAATATTTTCTTAAGCGTGCCATAGAGTGTATGCAACATAATTAGCCTTAACATGTTGACCCTTTGAAAACAGCTGTTACATAATGTGTTCGTGAGTATTTGCGGACCTGTGTGCATGTTTAAAACATGGTTTAAGCCTCCTGTTGTGTTTTTCTGTGTGTTTATGTCTGGTTTCAAGCTAAGCAGAATGTTCTGCAAGTAGATTTGAAAGATTAGACTTCTCATGAATGTGCTTTTCCTGGATTTGTTTGTCAAAGTCAGATAACCTGCAGCACACTTGGGCACTCTTGGTACAATGACCACAAACAAGCTGCTGAAAGAATCAATTTTTCCCCGTCAATGTGAATACTGAGTAGAATTTGAAGACAGACAATTGCACAGCTGACTTGGTCTTTCTGCTTGTGCATTTGTTTTTTGTGTGGACTTTGTACGTTTACGAAGGCAGAGAAAAAATAACTTTCCAAACACAGCATTTCTTTCAGGAGGTAAATTCCTTTGCAAAACAATAACAACATTGTGTATTGGAGAGGTTTTCATGCTCCAAAGACTATAGCTAACGGCTGCATTAACTTTTCCTCCTGGGAAAACTTTTAGAGAATTTCTTTGTAAACCAACACGGACAGTTCTAGCAGGAATATACAAATCATCATTCAGTTATAGGTATGTGGTGAACCGTTTCTGCCAAATTATTTAGCTGTTTCTGTGTTTTAGTTTAACGCTAAGGATACATTTATAGTACATATACTGCATACTTGAATGTTAGATATACAGTAAGCAACCACGCTGCAATCTCTGATGTTTAAAAACTGCAGTTCCTCAATTGTCCACTTGAGGCTTGCTGCAAAAGTCTCAATAAGATCCCATGTTCCCATGAGAAATAAACATGTTTACAGCGTGGCTCAAAAAATAATTTGTATCAACAGCTTACTTTCTTTATTGGTACGTTATGATCTTTGATCTTAATGCCTGCTTGTTGGCTGGCCAGCAAGTTCCAACATCAGATTGTTTGAGGAGCTGCAATGCATCATGTAGCAGTCGGGTATAACCAGTGAGCTCCTGTATCATACTTATATACATCTGGGCATTTCTCACACACGCAACATTATGCAACACACTTGCAACAATGGTTTGCCACTGGCCTTTTTGTTCAGGAAAGACAAAGCTACGTGTAGAGTAAAACATAATCTCTGTGGACAGTTTCAGACACATTTGGTAGTTTGTAGGATCAAGCAAATAAAACTGTCTTCATTCCTGTTGTAATTCTGCAATACATGTGCACTGTTTACCAACACACACATATCATGAGTAACAACACAGATACAGTTTGAGCATAATTTACATTTAAGTCAATGAGCTGGCTTTCATTAACAGTGAATATTTAAACTAATAAAATAAATATACAGTAAATGATAAATAAGTGAAGCCACTGTGTGATTACTGTGTAATGGTTTGATGATGTGCAGGGGTGCCAGTAAAGTTTAGTCTACTGTAGAAAAAGTACAAAGAATTCAGAAAACCTTTCTAGAACCCAAGTAGACATAAACAGCAACATAGACACTCAAAAAATCAGTAAAGGACCACAAACAGAGTAAATTAAGCTCAAATATGATATTTTTTTCAAAAGCAAAAACAGACAAATAAAAAGCATCATCTTAGCTGTAGACAAACATACCTGTTTTAATTAAATTGTTTATGTTGGAATTATTAGTCTACTGTAGAAAAAGTACAAAGAATTCAGAAAAACCTTTCTAGAACCCAAGTAGACATAAACAGCAACATAGACACTCAAAAAAACAGTAAAGGACCACAAACAGAGTAAATTAAGCTCAAATATGATATTTTTTTCAAAAGCAAAAACAGACAAATAAAAAGCATCATCTTAGCTGTAGACAAACATACCTGTTTTAATTAAATTGTTTATGTTGGAATTAATTTTTTTTTAAAAAATCTCTTTCTAAGTTTCAGCAATAGTCACAACCATCACCAAAATTATTAACCTCTCAATATCCAAAGGAGAATTTTTAAGGACTATTAGCATTTTTCCTATATTGTCTAAATTTGCTTAGAAATGGGAAGCTGAGCAAATCATACACCCCCTGAATAACAACTCTTTTCACCTACACAATGCAGTTTTGCTTTCTTATTCAGTCATTCAACAGAGACAGCTAATTGCATCTTCATTAAAGAATGAATAGGGGTTCTTCAATCCACGTTATCCACCTTTATTTTTTCTGCTGGGTAGAATCATATCTTTCCAACTGATCTCAAACTGTGCA